AGAGTCTAAAGTGAAACTTTGTACAATAAATTGGTGATGTGGAGTCTAAAGTGGCGTCATGTACCCAAAAAGATCCAATACGATCGCAATGGAGGAATGAAATTCCATTGTAGTTCATGTGAACGCTACCCATATTCTAAATATACAATGAAAAATGAACATTTGGGAATGTATTTACCCAACACAACAGCTGTAAATCAAATACCTTTATCATAATCCACTATTTTTCTTGATTAAGGTAATCTTAAGTGTGAAACTGAAAATGATAAGAAATATTCTTATCTTTCTTCTTCTACACATCTTGAAGACATGCTTCATTAAGGCCAATTAACTGTACCAATATCGTATACCAAAATGTTCATTATCAAAGGAGATATCCTAGAGTTTCATTCCTCCATGGTTGTCATTTTGGACTTTGCGGCCACATAGGATTTGGTTTGGGTGGCCTCCATATTTGAAAATATTTGGAATGTCATTCCATACAAAATGTGCCAGGTTTCATGCTTTTGTAACAACATACTAAAAACTCCACGAAACGGCTGCACTTTAAGGCATTGATAAGGATTTGGATGGCTGCACGGACCACATGGACAGCAGCACTCTGGTAATACTCCATGGAGAGAGGACAGGGCTTTGAACTTGGGCCAATAAATATTCTGGCCACTTCAACCTTTAGCTCATGGTAGAAAAATGTGATTTCAAATTGCCAGTGACTCCAGCACTGTAGCCCCAATGCAGATGTCATTAGTCTCTGAATCCCCCATCTCGCTATGGCTTCTTTTCAATTCAAATGTAGTTTTAAGTCTAGAATGTAATACATTGTACATCTACACTTCAACAGTTTGAATTAAACATGGGAGTCCATAACTCGTGATCTTTGAAGCCATTCATAGCGATCCATCCGACAGACAGAACCACCATCATCTATGACATACGTTCTGGGTCCTTGTTTGTCATAGAACACAACACCATGACAATAACGAATGGCAACTTCCAAAACAACTGACTCAGCACCCTGAACTGGAAGTTTGTGGAATGTAATCCTGATCAAGTCCTTTGGCCCATCTGTAAATGTTCCGTCACCATCCAAGACACAGATGTCAGATTCCAACTTCTTGTAAATATGTTTTGCCAGCAACTCTTCTGGTATATGTAGCTTAAAGCCTTCGTATATTGGTATGCATGTGGTATATCCTTCTTTTGTTCTCATCATTGATTGACCGATTCCCAAGTAGTATGACCCCCCACCAACAACCTTGGACATGGATGTTATAGAGTCTTTTAAGCTCATATTGTTCCATATGTACTGAGTCATCTCCTCAACATCTCTCTGCATATCTTGTAGCATTTCTTTTTTTCGAAATGATTTCAGTTGTATATGTCGATTCATTTGAAGGTCTTGGACCATATCTGGTAGTTTCCTTTGCACAGGTCGGCTATGTGTCGCTCTTTCCGTTTTTCTCAAAAGTGACTTCATGTTTAATAAGCTGATGGGAAGATTCTCAACATCATTCGTCATTTTAGTATTGAAATCCACAGTACATACATTCTCAGTTTTCTTAACTTCTATCAGAACAAAGTCTTTCACGTCTTCAAATGTTTCAATCTGACACAACCATTTACGTTTATAAATGTCAGTATAAAGTTCGCCATTTTCAAGTAATCTTGATAAAACTCTTCCGATGGCCTCGTCCAAGTGATTGAGATACCTGTTGTCCTGGCTGACCCCTTCCAAATGTACCACCAACGTTCCTCCACCACTGTTGCGGAATGCTGACACTACTTCAGAAACCCTTTCTATGAATTGGGCCTTCTGACTGCATAGCCTGCGCTTAAGTCTTAGAACATAACATTCTGTGTGCAATGATGAACAGTATTTGAACGGTCCTGTTATCTTTGTGAATCTCATATTAACATGAGCACAACTGGAACACTCTTCTGTAACAGAAAACAAATCAAATATTTTACAAGAAATCCATTGTTCCCACTGACGCTTTTTTCATTCCCCTTGATTTGGTAATTAACTAATCTGCGTTATGCCTCAGAGTACACAAATGCCCTGAACCTTTACATTTAAAGATTTATGTTTGATAAGTAGATTAAGTCGTTGTTCATTCTATGTGATTTCGCAATGAAACTTGCCCAATCCATGGATTACGCAATCAGGTTTATTCCTGCTAAATGACGGCGGTCAGTAAATAATCGAGTCTGGACCAGACAATCCAGTGATTGACGTCATGAGCATCTATCCACGCAATTGTGATACAATGACATGCATCAAAAGCGTTAGCGAGTCTGACCACCCGATCCCGTTAGCATGGGTTACTGAAGACATATTCTATACCGGGTCTTCACGGGTACGCGAATTGGACAGTTGCTGAAGGAATGTATCCAGTTGATGTGACTGTGGTTGATAAATAACATTAAACTGTATCATGTGGATGCAAATAAAAAAGTTTCAGATAAAATCTCGAATGCAGTTGGTTTAATATGAGTTATACGCGAACACACGATTGCCTCGCGGTATACAATAGCATAAGCACCACCACACCTCAACATGCTCAATGCCTTGTCTCAGTGCATGAGCCAGTTTATATCCCGATGGCGTTTGTTTGCTGATGGCTAAATGATCAATGTCACCTGTATAATTGTGTATGCATTTGTTTCTATTTATAGATTCTAATATAATATAAAGGTGAATAGATAATATTTTATATATAAAGTGTACTGTGATGCTTTCAAATGTCATGGAATTGTTTGGTTCGTTGAAGGTCGACGATGTTCTTCACTCTGATGCCACAGTGTCTCTTGCATTCTTCTTTTTTCTGTGTAATAACCATAATCATTTCACTCATTTTATCAGATCAGCATGATAATAATCAATTTTATCTTTTCATGTCTTGTTTGTTTGTTTGGTGTTAAACGCAGCACTCAGCAATATTCCAGCTATATGATGGCGGTATTTTTATGTCTATTATCGAACAGAAACTATTTCACTCTTGAGTATTGAAGCCAAAAGGGAACATGTGTGTTGCATTAAGAACATAAAGTGAAAGTAAAGGGATAATAAACAGTTTTACATCATATTAACAAGACCATCTTCCTTCACTTTATCAAAATATTTTCAAACACCCCCAAATATATCCAAACACCTGCAACTAAACTGAAGTCCAAAAGAAACTTTACTAGAGTTTGAAATCACTCTTGCTCAAAAACAACAAAACATACATGCATTTAGTAAAGTGTATGAGAAGAACAATATATCAACATAATCAACACTGAAAATGACAATCATACCGCGACCGAGAATGACGTCACAGCCCCCCAAAGTTGGGTGTGGTACAAAACTCGAGCTTTCAAAATCATGGACAATAGGCAGAGTAGATAAACAATCGCTCACGTTCAATAACAAGTCATAAGTAGTGTGTGTGACTACCAAATGCCTCAATACATGCAAAAACACTTCGACGCACAGAAAAAGTCAGTCGTCTGATGAGGTCACGTGGAATTTGACGCCATTCTTCTTGGAGGGCCAAGATCAGTTTTTGCCGGTTGGCTGGAGAGTGTGGTCGTTGTCGAACACGACTGTATCGGCTCTAGTGTTGTCATGCTCATAAATGACACCACGTGGTTGCTGTTGGAGGAATGGTAGGACAACTGGACGAAGAATGTTATCCATGTAACGCTGAGCTGTCAAGTTTCCGTCAATGATGACCTCTCCTGCCCACAGATCCCTCCCCACACCATCACACTCTCTCCACCATATGGTACGACCTCCTGCACACAACATGCCGCCGTTTGATCACCCAACACGTTGTCTTCCATCAGCCCTAACCATACAGAATCGACTTTCGTCAGTGAAGACAACCGTCTGCCAGTCACTTCGTTGCAAACGTCGTACAGTCCGGGCCCATCTCAATCGCAGATGACAATGTTGCGCTGTCAATAGCTGTCCTCTGTATGGTCTAAAAGCCCTGATTCCATGAGCCCTGAGTCTCCTGGCCACTGTCTGTCGACTAACCCTGTGACCTAAGGCATTTGTCGCCGATGACGTCACTGTCAGGAAGCGATTTCGGAGGTGCAAGGTATGCAAGTACCGGTCATCATGGGGCGTGGTCACCCTGGGTCTGCCTGTTCGTGGCCTGTCAGCGGTCCACCCTGTCTGTCTTTAACTTTGCATTCAGTTGGTACCGGCACACGGGAGCAACCGAAGGTTCGTGCAATATGGGCGTGGGTGGCTCCCATCTGTACCATACCCAAGGCTCGTTCACGTTGTTCGACTGTGAGTCGTGGCATTTCTTTTGTGTTTTTTTATCCCTGTGGATGTCTGACTTGCCGTTGCAATCGTTTTATACCCTTTCCCGCACGTGCATTTGCAGCTGTCCGTGGTGCACGTGTTTTTCACTTTTTCGCGTGTTATCTAGCAAACATGTAACAGACGATTAACATTTTCTGCATACACTATTGTTGTGTTTTAGATAGACTTCATAAAAAAATAATTATACTTTATCTGAAATTTATATTTTCACTTGGTAAATTTTCTTTTGGACGTCAGTTTATTTACAAACATTTCCATTCTTGGAAATATCATCATCGCAATATTTCTTCCAGTGGTTTTCTCAATCATTCCAGTTGCAAAACACATATTTCCAACCAACAATGGAACGTTTGGAAACCTTTGGAAGGTGAGGTGAAATGTTTAATGTTTAAGGTTGCGTTCAAGGAAAGCTTGGGAACCCTTTCTTCCAGTGGATTTTACAATCAGTTACATTATGACAGTGCATGGAGGTATTGAAAACACACTTGTTTATTGTCATCATCTCTATTCCACATCTTATGAAGTCGGCATTTAAGAATGACTTTGGATGTTAGTTACATACATTTCAAGTGGATACAACCTTCATTACTATCTCCATATTCAATGTATAAATGGATTTATAGATAGGGTTGACCATTAGCAAAATACTTACGTTTCGGAGTTAATATCCCTTGGTCAACTGCTGCTGGTCTACTGTCGATCTTGATGACCCCTTTCTTTTCCAATACTCTGAAAATAGTGTGCATGTCACTGAGCTATCACAATAACAAAGACCAGTGTGTCAACTTGCAACTTGGACTGTTAAAAAGAAAGAGTTATGAAATAATAGCGAAAGATCCCTTTCCATATTCAAAAGAAATCTCTCCTAAAAGCAAAGTCAGTTCTGACTATATCCATGATATCGTGAGCATTATTATTTATATAATACATTTATATATCACACTTATCAAGATATTAGTATCAGCTGAAATGCGGATTAATCGTTCCCGACCATTGGATCCGTATACATTCTCAACTCCCTGGCGAGTGTACAGCTCATGCTGCGTACGGGCGCTGCTGGGATTTACATCCATCTAACATATCAGGTACCCATTCCCACATTTGTGAACAGAGGCACATTTGAACGAAGTCACGTGCCCAGGATAACCCACGAGGTTTTGACACGTGTGATGTTTATGTTCATATTTATGTTTATGATACAAGGTGTTAGCGAAAAGGTGAGCGTATCCTGCCCATCTGTGGCACTCGTTACAAATACATGCAAAGGCAAATCAATTGTCACCCTTGAAAATACAGGAGCATATGTTACATGTCAAAATTGGGAATTGCATTGGACATCATTTGGTTTCAATGATGCGTCAAATTTGGAAATGTCTTCCAAGTATCTCCCATAAAACATGTGACGCCCTTTGAAAAGTCCGTGGAAGAGCATGCTCTATAGTACCCCAAAGTCTCCTAATTCCGATTCATATGCATAAAGAAACAGATCAGCAAGAAACGGAGCACAATTGGTGTCCATGGGGATGCCTGCTTCTTACGATATGTCTTACCTCCAAACCCACCTGGATGTTCTCAATGAGAGCAGCATTTCAAATATTGTTTTCTAAGTAAACTTCAGAAAGCATTTGCTTTCATTTTCGGCAAGTTGTCCCGAACCTCTGAAGATAGATATGTACCTGTATCTGTGGTCACCGCGGTTGTAACAATGTTGTACCATATGTCCCCGTGTTGTTTTTCAGGTGACCAATTGACATGCCTTCGCATGTGTTTGTGACCGATGCACCTGGTGGGGCACGATATGCTCACATTTTTACTTGAACCATACGTTCCCATGTTGTTTTGGTTACGAGGGCTCGTCACAAAGTTCTAAGCCTGAATAACTTTCAACTATGGGCCATAAACAAAGTGAACTAGTCAATGCACTTCATTGTTTGAGTAGGTCATTGCACGTGTATTTGGTCTGTTGTGTATTTGGCCGTTTGTTTATTTGTGGCAGCAAGTTGAACGTCATAGGGATCCAAATGGACACAGAAATGGAAAAGAACGTTTACCGAGCGGTCATCAAGATTTTTACTTCATAGAAAAGCACAACCCAAGAAATTCATGACCGCATAACCAAGTGCTCTACCAGTGCTCTAACTGTTAAAGGTGAGGTGAGGTGAAATTGGGTTTAACGTCGCGTCCAAGATTATTGCACTTATATAGCGACGTGCATGCACGTGTATGTGTGTGTGTGGCTGCTTGTACTAGTCCGGACTGATGCCGATTTATAGTGCTAGCTCACTGAGATACCATGCCGCAGTTTAACATGAATACCCCACTCAGACACAGTATACTGACTCCGAGCCGACCAGTCCTTGTTTTAGCCCCTTAATGCCGAGCGCCAGACAGGGTAACAACAAGTACAATCTTTTAACGTCTTTTTGTATGACGCGGCCCGGGATCGAACCCTGGACCTTCCGCTCTCCGGGTGGACGCTCTACCACAAGACCACGGAGGCGGTCCTAACTGTTAAACGTTGGGCAGCTGTGTTTAAGGCTGGGAGAACAAGCCTTGATGATGACCTGAGGTCTGGACGTCCCCCATCAATAAAGATTCAATCAAGGAGATAGGAAAAACTTATACTGTCAGATAGACATATAACCAATGCTGAACTTGGAAAAGATAAACGTCTAAGCCATGGATCCACTGAAAGCATTATTCATGAACATTTACAGACGAATAAGATATCTGCTCGTTAGGTGCCAAAGTGTAAATTCTTATCTTTTGGAAAACAGAACTGAAATTGCGGGAGAAAATTAAGAGCTAATATTGAGTAAGATTTCATCAAATTGAAACAGAGATTAGTAACGGGAGAAGAAACGGGTCTACCACTATGATTCCGAGTCAAAACGTCAATCTATGGAATGGAACCATTCCACTTCTCTGGCTCCAAAGAGAGTGAGTGATTGAGGTTTTACGCCGCTTATAGCAATATTCCAGCAATATTACCAGAAATGGGCTTCACACATTGTACCCATGTCAGGAATCAAACCCGGGTCTTCGACATGATGAGCGAACGCTTTAACCACTAGGCTACTTGACCATTCCCCAGCAAGAAAGAAATTTAAGCATTCAAGATCAGTGAAGAAAGTTATGGATCCAATGGGTGTGATCCTTGTTGATTACCTAGAAAGTCAAAAGACGATTACTGGTGCCTACTATGCTGATTTGCTTCATCGCCTGAGAGATTCTATCAAAGAAAAGCGCGAGGAATGCTAATTGCTGCTTTAAGGCAATGCCTCATCTCACACCTCTCGACTTGCAAAGGCTGCTGTGCGGTAATGTGGTTTCGAAGAGCTTGATACTCGCCAGACCTGGTTTCCTGAACTGAAAGATAACCTTCCTGGAAAGCGCTATGACGCCAACAATGATCTTAAATCTGCCGTGAATGGGGTGGCTCTAGAAAACTTCTTCCTGACTGGAATTGAAAAGCTTCACTATCGATATTGAAAAGCAGGGAGATTATTTTGAAAAATAAAATTAAAAACAACTGTTGGTTTTAGTGGGGCAGTTAAGGCAGGATTTTAGTCAAAATTGTGCACTTTGGTTTAAAAGCACCAAACTTGGCACACTTCTACATTGAACCATTCCGAACAGTACTAGATAAAGCTCCACCTCAGCAGCGCCACCTGGTGGTAGAAAATCCAAGATGGCCGCCAAAATTGTTAAATCTCTTATGACGTCAATTTATATTCAATATATCATCATTATTTTGTCAGTTTTGGTCATTTATGTAAACTTAAATGTTGTATATTTAATTAAGATCTAATATGCAGCGCCTACTAGTGGCGGAGAATGACATTCATGTTGTTTTGTTGAAGAGAATCCTGAACAAGTCGAGCAATATGAGGCCGGGCGTTGTCATATTGAAAGGTAATGCTTGGCCATGAGGACGCAAAAACGGTAGAAAAACAGGGCCGATGATCTAGTCGTGGTAGCGCTGTCCATTGAGATTTACCTCGACCACTATCAAACGGGTCCTCTGTCTTGCTGTTATCCCACCCCAGACCATAACGTTGCTGCCCCGAACCGATCTTTTTCCATGAGTGAGTGAGTGAGTTGCATTTAACGCCGCTTTAAACACTATTCCAGTTATATCGCGGCATGTCAGCTTAATGTCGGTGGAAAGCCCGAAGTGATGCAGGTCTCAGACGTTTACCACTTCGGTGAAACCCACGAGCACGGGTATGGTGCTGACAAACCTAGAAACATAATCTGGGCGTACTGGGTTTCGAACCCACAATCATAGGTTTCTGGCATGGCCAAGGGACGCAACTCTGCACAGCGAATCGTGGCGCCTTAGACGACTAGGCCAACCATCCCCCCTTTTTCCATGACACAATGATTGACGTAAAGTTCACCTCGACGTCGGTACACTCGAATCCGTCCATCGCTGTGGCTGAGGTGAAAACGAGATTCGTCAGTGAATAGAACTTGTCCCCACTGCATGGCCGTCCAGCGTAGACCCTGTCTGCACCACTGTAGACGTGCTTGACGGTGGTTTCAAGTCAAAATGGGACGTCTGGTGGGTCTTCTGTTGACAGTCCCTGCACATCTGAGGCAACAACGTACGGTTTGTGAAGATATTCATAGAAGGCCAGGGATGCTTCTTGCAGTCACTGTTGCTGGCTGGAATCGATTTCTTAGGTGTGTTCGAATCCAGTTGTCTTGTCGATTATTGGTTACACGTGGCCTGCCACTCCGAGGATGGTCTCTGACTGCACTTGTCTGTTGCCAACGTTGCCATATACACCAATTGGTGTTTCTGTGGACGTTAAATTGTCTTGCAACATCATGTTGACTCGATGCTGCTTCAAGCATACCAATGCAAATGGAATCCCGTTAACGCACATGTTTATACCCATTCTTGGGTAGTGAAATGCATGGGGCTTGCATAAGAGTCAACTTTTGCATGGAATGCATGCTTTTCTGTAGCAGTTGCGTTTTTGTGACTTGATTCCATACATGTACTACAATATTGAAAACCAAACTTTACTTGTTTGAAAAATACACTAAAATATTGGTGTCACAGGAACTTTTGTTGTTGAATATAGTTATCGTTTGATATCTTTGTACAAAGGATAAGTTGATAAGTTTTGATATGATGAAACATTTTAAATGACATTGTATCAATCAATATGTATTGTCTATGATTTATTCTCAGCATATTATTTTATAAATGGTCTACTGAGAAATGTTCTACCTAGTTTATATTAGATCACCCCAAAATGGTAAAGTTTAAGGTTTGCCAGCACGACTACAGTGGTGTAGACAGCGTCTACGCTGGACGGCCATGCAGTGGGGACAAGTTCTATTTCACTGAGTCTTGTTTTCACCTCAGCCACAGCGATGGACGGATTGTGTACGGACGTTGAGGTGAAGGTTACGTCAATCATTGTGTCATGGAAAAAGATCGGTTCGGGGGCGGCAGCGTTGTGGTATGGGGTGGGATAACAGCAAGACAGAGGACCCGTTTGATAGTGGTAGAGGGAAATCTCAATGGACAGCGCTACCACGACAAGATCATCGGCCCTGTTGTTCTACCGTTTTTGCATTGTCATGGCCCAGGCATAACCTTTCAACATGATAACGCCCGGCCTCACATTGGGATGGATCGCCGCCTTCGACGTCAACCACATTTTCCACAGACACTCCAAGAACTTCGAAACATGCTCCAGCAGATATGGACAGATATCCCACAGGACTTTGTGCGACGCTTGGTCAATTCCATGGGATGAAGCTGTGTTGCTTACATCGCAACCAGAGGTGGACACACGCTATTGATTTGTAAATTGACATTTTGGCATGTTCATGGTTTTTTTTATGAAATCATGCATTTTTCTGAAGTCAGTATGGCAAATTAAACCATTTGAACACTTACAGGAGTCTTTTATCTGATGCAAACCGAAATTGTTTCAGATTTAGTAAAAACAGAGCTTTGCTTTAAATCTTATTCAATGTCTCAGAAACTTCTATTTTTCATTATACATCTGCTGTAGAAATAGACAATTTCTGAAACTAAAACATATTGGAGGCCATCTTGGATTTTCGCCATCACCAGAGGGAGCTGCATATAAGATTTGAATTTTATAAAGCATTGTTGCAATTGATCCTGAAAAAGATACTGTGATACATTGGATGAATAGACCAGATGATTATGATATGATGAGTATAGACTAAAGTTATCAGAGAATTCAACCATGTCGGCGGCCATCTTGGACTTTCATCACCACCAGGCGGTGCTGCATACTAGGTTTGAATTATATACAGGATTGTTGTGATAACTCCTAAATACATTACAAAGATAATGTGTATAAATTGGCCAGGTAACTATGATGTGTTGAGTGTAGACTGATATCATTAGAGATTTCAGCCATGCTTTCGGCCATCTTGGATTTTCTACCACCAGCGGTGCTGCAAACTATATTTGAATGATATACTGATCTGCTGCAATTCATTCCGCATGCATTACTATGGATATATGTACATGTATAAATGGATCAGAGAAGTATGATATATTGAGTATATATTGATATCATTAGAGATTTCAGCCATGTTAGCTTTCACCTCCCCACTATTTTGTTTGTTAGGCTCAGAACTTTTTTACCAGCCCTCGTACAATGGATTTGTCTTTGCCTGAAGTCCTCGAGTTTCATCATTAGCTCAGTAGCATTCATCAATTATGATATGGCTGAAATAATGCCTATGCCGAGTCATCAACAAGGAAATGTTCGGGCAAAACGAATATATTTCTGTGACGGAGTTTCTTCTTCACCTATAATTAGCAGAATCGTTGCACTTGTACACAGCAGACGTGATTCAAAATTAACGTATCAGCAAAATTAGTAGATGTGCAATCATATGACTGGATTGCCTGTCCATTACTTGATTGTTTCAGAAGCGGATGCTACGGGTAGGGCAGGACATGCTGACCTCTTTCTCGAACACTTTTGGTCATCACTGATTTTTAGTGATTAATTCTTATAATTATCAGCGCTATGTTGCCTTTTACCTTCCTTTTATTCTCTGTCATTGGCGTTTAATATTATGATCATTGATTTCAAGTGTGATTTTATTTCAGGCGATCGCCGGATCCTGAATCAACCTATACTTAGACGAGGGCGAGGTCGAGTATTGAGACTTGGCAGTCAACGTACCGTCGGCATCCATGGTTGCCACCATGCCTTCTGTGGTGGTATTCAATGATGGTAAGGGGGGTGGTTACTGTGGAGGACTGAACGCATTTAAAAAAAATGCCGATGTTAGGGACAGTATTATCGTACAAAGAAACAAAAATTATGTCGCTTATTGTACTATCTTGCGATCGTGCACGCTACATAGATCAACAATACGCCTGATTTTTACCCGTCAATAGCTCCCAAAACTCGCGCTTGTTACTCCAGTAGAGTGTGACAGGATACCCAAGATGACCATTGGTTGCATGTAATATTGACCCACTGATACCCACTTGTAACAGACACACATGTGAGATGCAAGTTAGTGACTTTGATGAAATGTTAACCCTCATCTTGCCTCTAGGAGATGAGATAGATACATTCAGGATTTCTCATATCTTTTATTGTTATGGAAGTCCAGAAATGAATCACCTCTGTACATTTGTCATTGTTGTATTTAAATATATATATATATATTAGTAAGTGCTAAACCATAATTCAAATACAACATTTACTAGAAAGTCAATTTAACTTTAACTGTTTGATGCATGATACTCTGTAGTCAACACTTACGGTGGTATATGTGTACTCTCCTCGTGTGACGATCTTGAAGATGACATCCTGAAAATATCACAGTTTGTCTTAGTACATACAGAAAACAGTAAATAGATAAGTTACATCAAAATAATTCAACACTTTTCTTGTAAAAATTAATTTGAAAACAATATTTTGGCTCAAGTTATAAATGTGTTCAATGGACATGCTCGATGTCATAAAAAAAGTTGTGTTATTGCTTTCCAAGAAAAAAGATGTTTGTGTTGAGGCGTTTTTCGAACAACAAAACAAAAAAAACATACAGGTATGGGTCCAAAATAATATTACCGTGAACATAAATAGTTTAGAGTTGTTCAACTTACGCTGATGTCTCTGAATCTGAAACACTATATGACATGTATGATGTCCATGAAGATGACTTCTCAACCCAGAGATCTACGTCCTTCACATCTTTAGTCAAATGCGTTGAAGACTGGTAGGACATATCATCGGACAAATCATCGGACAAATCATCCACGTCTGCTACAATTCCGCTTGTTGTATCACCGACGTCGGGAGGTGCTGCTTCCCTGGACACTTCTAAGCTGATTTTATGCAAGAACTTCCTCTTCACCTTGTCTTCATCTTGCATCATTTGGTTTCTATCCACTTCTGTATCATGCAGAAAAACAATTCACCGTTTTATTTCACAGCCATGAAATGATGTGCCTTAATGTAGGACAGATCTTTTGTGGTGATAATTACGTTGAAATCAAAGTATTTTCTTATTCATGTGTATGGGGTCATGGGTGGCCCAGACGCCGGAATTCACCTTGCAGAGTTGCGCCCCTTGGGCACGTCAAATACCTATAAGTGTTGGTTCGAATTCCGGGTCGCCGAGATTATGTTTGTAGGTTTGTTTCACCAAAGTGGTAAACGTCTTAAACCTACATCACTTCGGGATTTCCTCACACATTACACTGGCTGTTCAAAGCAGTGTTAAACCCAACTGACTCGATTACTCATCATTTATTCTTTAGCAACTGTCAATATATTGGTTCGGGATTATCAGTGATCTCACCCAAAACAATTACTTACCCGATATCCTTCTTTTAGCCGTTGCACCTTGAACAGAGCTGCCGTAGGTTGGAATTTCTGTAACAGAGCAGTAGATTACAAAACTAATTACCAATACATGTAGTTTTTAAGTCTGTCTGACAGTGAATTGAAGTGGTTACAGGCGATGTGGTTACTTTACAGTTGTATCAGAGGGTATTCTAGTAGTGGAGGCAAAAGATTCATTTGGTTCTTGGGGGTGAACATCAAGTTTTTTGGTGTCAGCAAAACTAATATTCCTTGTAATATTCTCTTTTGAGTAGGATGGGTGACTCCCTGTGCAGTTGATGCATTTTTGTAATTATCGTCACAATCTTCTGTTACATGAGTATTCTCACTGCAGTGAGCACATGTAACATCAACATTGATATTGCAATAGCCTGCATTTGGAATTTGGAGGAGAAAAATGGAAGAGATCGGTGATTGTAGGTTGTGTTTAAGAGTTTTTTCAGTAGGTCACTGTTGATTTAAACAGTTCAATAGGTATCCAACAGCATCATGTTCACATAAACTGCTGTAACACACAGGACGTGTGTAGAGAGTCATAACCCTCACCCCCTCACCCTCACCCCCTCCCCACGCCCACTCCCACACTTCTGATTCCCTCTATGCACCTGATCAGGTTCATAATCACAGCCTGAGGCAGGGCTTTCTACTCCCGGAGCAGACTGGCTTGCTCCGTCTCTAAAGCGTTGTGAAGTGAGATTTCCAACAACAACGTGTAATCGTGTCCTTGCAGTAGCTGTAATGCCACCCAGACCATTATAACCATCCCCAAATGGATTATGCGCTACTACAGTAGCATTATGAAAATGTTTATGTTGCCGTCTGTGTACTCGTCTACGGCCATCATCAGAAGACAGATTAAATTTCATCAGTAAACAGCACTGATGACCACTGACATAGATTCCAACGCTGATGACGTCGAGAACAGAGACCAGCAGAACGCAATCTGCTTCGTACGGTGGCGTGGCTAATGCGGACATTATTGACGTTAAAGTGTTCATCACTTATCTGACGTGACGTAAGAAATCGGTAAGTAAAGGCAAGGTTCACAAGGTACCTCTGTGTTCTGACCCAAGGACAACCTGGTCTTTGACCATAGGCAACTGTTCCAGTGGCCTGGTACTGCTGCCACGGCCTCCCTAATCACACTCTGGGTGATGATAAAGTGTGTAACCACCTGACGTTGACTGTTTCCAGTTTGGAGCCAAATAGCTCTGCCACGATTTTCATCCCTCAAAAATCGACGCATGGACACACGCGTGTCCTATCATTCGCTACTGTTAATTGGGTTTTAAACCACGTGTCAGTACTCTGATTTGCACATGCAGCTACTGTTGGGGTGATACGATTTTGTGACCATGAACACAATGTTTAAATTTGTGTTTACCTCCTCCTGCATTATTTACCATGGTTCGAATATTGTTCAAATACAGCCACAAACATTCACATTTGTGGTCTTTAACAACTGGGGTTTGGATCATTATTAGTTTGAGGTTTGAATAGGAGAACTTCAATTGTTTCGTTCTAAACTATATGGGTGACCCTTCAATAGTTATGTTGAGTGTTTATATAAATGTTGTTCTTTTTATAATTAAATTTTCGTTGTGTTCACTGAAATTCTTGCATTCTGATCAGCTGAATTGGTCACGTGTTATTGCATTCATTTTCCACTGAATGCAAAGCATTAAGCCAAGCCCACCGAGGCGGACTACTTTTATTACTACGGAATGTCGGGGAATCCCAATATTACAGGACAGGACATTAAGCGAAATTCATGATATTCGCTGTCCAAACAACTCTTTGAGTCCGAAGGCCGAGAAAGAATGAAACAGCAAACCTGCACATTCCCCTAGCCCCATCAAAGATCGATGTGTGGATGGCAGCCCTAGAAGAAGCAAACTTTGACGATCCAAGGGTGCTGAGGTTTGCACATTATGTTACTGAACAGTGGATGGAGAGTGATGGTCGCAGCATGTGGAACCACTTCAAGACAGTGGGTTCCAGAACCACAAACAATTTTGAAGGCTGGCATGGTAAGCTAGGCAAACAGGGGCCTAGCCATCCAAATATATTCAAATTCATTGACATAAAAAAGAACAGTGTTTTGTAGAGTCACTGCTCCTGCAAATCCAGGCTGGTGGTCGACTTCCTCCAAAGAGGAGGAAGTACCGCAATGTGGATAGCGGTATTGAGAGTGAAAAGCAGGAGGTGTTGGCAGGGCTCAAGTCACCAACAGAATATGCTGATTCTGTGGCAAGATTAATTGGTTTGTGAGTTAAAATGTATGTGAAGTGTAAATAATTAATTTAATTTCCGACTTTAAGTTTATATATTTTGTATGTATGAACACATGTATGATTTATAATGTATGCTGTATGTACATGAGAAATAAAATAACGAAAGTGATGTTGCCCTCTTTTAAATCCCTTTTTAATCCTCATAATCCCTCTATTGTACACTTGTCAGTAATGGTTGGGTAATTTTTAACCCAGAACAATAGGTGCCGGCAAACCGAGGTGTCCCCATTTTTACACACGGAATGTTTATAAATCTCGTCATTATTTGTCTGCTTTGATATATACAGCTGTTTTTGGTTTATTGCAGATAAAACATGTTTAAAGGTGTCAAATTTAATTATAAGCATTGACTTGTATTATTTTCGTTTCATTGAGGTATGAATCGAAAAACCGATCTGCACACTTTTGTAAGAACTGAAAATAATACACAGTCAATCCTTAAACATGTTAAATAGGTTTTACTTTTAGCAAAATACTTACTTGAAAGTAATTCGTCTGGGTGTCTGTGATCCTTAGACGAATGAGCTTCTGCTGTGCTACTGTCAATCATGGTGAGTCCTCCCTTGTCCAAAACTCTGAAAATAGTGTGCATGTTACCAAATTATCAAAATGACAAGGACATGTTAGGTGTATTTTCTGAGAATGTTATTTAGACTGTAAAGAAGAAAGGGATATTGAAATAAAAGCGATAAAACCCTTTCCATATTCACCAGAAATCTCCTCTAAAAGACAAGCTTAGTACAATTCTGCCTATACCATGAGCATTATCATATCCTATTATACATTTATATACCACAGATACGGTTACATATCGATCATCAGAGGTTCAAGACAATTTGTCAATAATGAAAGCATATGTCACTTTACTGAGAAAACAATATGCAAAACGTTTGATGTTCTGATTGATAAGGGGTGGTCGGGTAGCCTAGTGGTTAAAGCGTTCGCTCGTCACGCCGAAGACCGGGGTTCGATTCCCGGTACAATATGTGAAGCCCATTTCTGGTGTCCCCCGCCGTGATATTGCTGAATTATTGCTAAACGTGGCGTAAAACCATACTTAGTCAGTCAGCCTGATTGATAACATCCATGTACAATGTGAATGTAAAACATTTAGGCAAGAAGTAGGCATCCCCGTCTTGCTGATGTGTTTCTTTATGCATGTGAATCAGAATTTCAGCTTGGATTGGCAAAGTCCAAACAATGTCATTCGGCCAAGACGTTTAACGTTTCAGTTATATCGAAAAAGAAAGCATAAAGACTCAGAGGTAAAAATACTCTCCGCAAGACAAGAGGAATAGTCAACTTTACCTTAATATGGAGCAATATTCCAGCAGCCCCATATATTCCTGTGTTATTGTCAGATGAACAATTGACTTGCCTTTGCATTTGTTTGTGACGGGTGCAACTGGTGGGGCAGGATAGGCTCACCTTTCGGTATGATCATTATTGGATAGTGATTGATAAAGACATGCTCATGACACAATTGGGATCGTGCAGTCGCCTCGGCTTTTGGTGGGGATATATTGTGGCTATAGAACGAGTTCTGTAGCTTTTATTTAACGATTGTCTGCAGGAACAACAGAAGTAACTATAGGCGCAGATAAGGGTGCAGACAACGGTGGTACCAGAAAAATATACGATGGTCAACTTTCCCTTCGGGCAATATTCAAGCACCTCCAGCCTTTGATGTCTACACTTCACAATTTTGAGAGATATTTCAGCAGGTTCTTACTACAAACCTTTTAAAGAGCATCGTACGACTCTGTTGCTCAAAGGTTGTTTGATTAAGATAACAACATTCAAGGCCTCTGTGAAGCTTTAAAAAAAACTATGGTGGACTGTATGACAAGACGGACGACTTCAACTTTCCAACAGGCAACTGTCTCTTTATGTCCAGCAATATTCGATCAGCTTAAGCCTTTGGTGTCTACATTTCATACGTTTTGAGGGACATTCGAGCATGCCCTTTCTGCAATGATTTCTACGAGAGTTG